CTTTGTAGTCAATTCACGTTCTGAAGTGTGACAACGCTCTCTGGAGAATTATTCTTGCCACTCTACTTACAGAGGTATTTGTTTATATATTCTGCCAGTCTTAGAACTTGAAAAGGTTATATAATTCTCCCTGGTAGTCCAGGAAGATCTCCTACCACCCGTGTTACATTTTATATTATATATTTTTAGTGTTTCCTTGTTCTATTTTTTTATTGAGCTTAAAAAATAAAGTGGAAGAGCTAAAAAAAAACAGATGATTAACAAATGGCTTGAGTGCCAGTAGGCATATTCTCATCTATTTGCATCTTTGGAAAAAGTTATTTAAGCTCTTATGAGTTGGTATCTGTCTGCCTAGCTATCTAGGTATCTATATATGTTAGCTAGCTAGCAGTACTGGAGATTGAACTCAAGGAGTCTTGCCCTTGAACTCTTACCAATTGAGCCATGCCTCCCGTCTTTAGTCTTTTTATCCAAACTGTGGTTAACAACAATTTCCTACCTACCTCACAGGGTTGTCATGGCAATAAAATAGACCATGATTGAATAAAGGAGTAGGTACTTCAAAATAAAGGTCTAAGCTGGGTGTGGTTGGAAGGCTGCTGCAGGAAGATAATGAGTTTGAGACCAGCCTATGCTGTACAGTCAATGCTGTCTCCAAAAGCCATCGAAAAACAAGCTGTGTTTGTAGGGCAACTGGCAGGATGCTACATTCATATAAGCAAATAACAAGGCTAAACGAACAGGAAATTGGGAATTTTAAAGATTGTATTCTATGGGGCTGCGAAGGTGGCTCAGTGGTAGAGCGCTTGCCTTGTATGCATGAGGCCCTGGGTTCCATTCCTCAGCACCACATAAGCAGAAAAAGCTGGAAGTAGTGCTGTGGATCCAGTGGTAGAGCACTAGCCTTAAGCTGAAGAGCTGAGGGACAGTGCCCAGGCCCAGAGTTCAGGCCCCATGACTGGCAAAAAGAAAAAGATTGTATTCTATATTCTGTTTACTCACTGTTAGAAAAATCGGACTTGATACTTCTCTAATTTGAAGTTGCGTGCGCGCACATGAGTGTGTGTGTGTGTGTCTGTGTGTGTGTGTGTCTGTGTGTGTGTGTGTGTCTGTGTGTGTGTGTTCAAACTTATTTGTTTATCAGTCAGTGGGGGCTAGGGTAAGTGAAAATAAACCCACTTCTTAAGTTTTATCCTAAATTCTCCATCCTTACTTTTCAGGTAGGAGTTATTTTTAAATGTGTGCTTTTGGGTAGTTGGCCCAGTTTTACTTAGAATAGAACTGTGGTCTGTGGTGTGAAATGAGCCTCCACATGACCATTTTGAAAAGCAAGTTAAAGCAAGATTGTTCAGAGCTGTGCCAACTTAGTGCTGTCAAAACATCCCCTGGCTCATGTAACTGTAACCCCTCTGTCCAGTATTTTTACAGTAAAAAAACTTATTTCAAACACAAAAACCATCCCCTGCCCAGGGCAGTTGGCCTTTTTTTCCTTCAAAGTGCTATCTTGTTTCACCCGTTCTATCTACTTCAAAGAATCTGAAAGAACCATCGGGATTCTGCCACATGGAGTGTGTATTCGTTACACTCCTTGGCCTTCTGTTAAATAGATAGAAGAGTCCTGTTAGAATTTAGATTGTGGGGCTGGGAAGGTGGCTCAGTGGTAGAGCGCTTGCCTTGCATGCCCTGGGTTCAATTCCCCAGCACCACATAAGCAAAAAGAAAAAAAAAAGCCAGAAGTGGCGCTGTGGCTCAAGTGGTAGAGCGCTAGCCTTGAGCTGAAGAGCTGAGGGACAGCGCCCAGGCCCAGAGTTCAAACCCCACGACTGGACCCAAAAAGAAAATTAGATTGTGGCTGAGCCAGTTCAGGATGCCTACCCATTCCTCCCATTCCAGCCTCGTGGTGGGAGTAATATGTGCAGGCAAGCTCCCCATCCATGCACTCATTCACAGGTAGAGAACCCCAGGGCATGGCCACCCCTCTGGGGCAGAGCTCACCTTTTTCAGCACTGCTTAGAGTAGCCCAGAGTATGGGCTCACTGCAGTGAAATTACAGCCAGGGCACGAACACAAGCAGTGCTGCGCATAGCAGACATCTCTGCCCAATCTCATTAACAAGAGAACTCATTCCTTGTTCCTTGGGGAGTGGGGTGTGAGTAAGGGAGAAAAACAGATTGCTTTTGCTGGTGGTTCCCTGCAGTGCCTAAAATGGCTCCTTAATGAGTCAGGAATACTTATGGGAGGGGAAAATATTCTGTCCACATCTGAGCTACTGAAAATTATCAGTCTTTTCTATGACGTTTCTCACTAAATCCCAAATCCATCCCCTGTCCACACTCTGTCATTGGACCAAAGGTGCACACAGCAAGCATAATGCCCACATGGTGTTCTGGAGAGCAGGCAATGTGTTTTGATCCTGGCAAGATATTAGACACAGTCTTTCTCATGTGGTGATTAGGGCAAAGTGGGTGGTAAGTTTATTGCTGGGAGCAGAGCTCACATCTGCAGGTCACTGTTAGCTTGTTAGCTTGTGTAGATAGCAGATGCAACATAGGATTTGCTCATTTAAATGTACTTACAGGGCTAGGAATATGGCCTAGTGGTGGAGTGCTTGCCTAGCATGCATGAAGCCCTGAGTTGGATTCCTCAGCACCACATACACAGAAAAAGCCCAAAATGGTGCCGTGGCTCAAATGGTAGAGTGCTATCCTTGAGCAAAAGCAGCTCAACAACAGTGCCCAGGCCCTGAGTTTAAGCCCCAGGACTGGCAAAATACATAAACAAACAAACTTGCATCCACAGATGACATGAAAGGCAGGTCTTCTGCCATATGTATGTATATATTCTTTGAACTGAAACATAGGTTTCAGTCCCTTGGGGAACTGCTAAGTGGAGGCTATCGACATGAGAGAGCATGCAAGGGCATGGTTCCTCCTGTTATAGTTGAGCCTCCTCATTTAGGTTCATTCTTTCCTATGAGAATCATTTGGGTTTGTATTTTGTCATCTATCAAAATACCACCTGTATCTATAGCTGTTGAGTGCTTTCTTTTTTTCTCTTTTTTTGGGTCAGTTGTGGGGCTTGAACTCAGCGCCTGGGCACTGTCCCTGAGCTTTTTTTGGCTCAAGGCTAGCACCACAGCTCCACTTCCAGTTTTTGAGTGGTTAATTGGAGATAAGAGTCTCATGGGGGACTTTTCTCTCAAGCTGGCTTTGAACTAGGGTCCTTAGATCTCAGCCTCCTGAATAGCTAGGATTATAGGTATGAGCCATAGGTGCCGGGCTTTGAGTGTTTTCTTGATACTAGTATTAAAAAAAACAACAACAACATGAAGTACTGTTAACACCAAGCTCAGACTTAGCCACCATTGTAATAGAAGGAACAGCACAGAGTTGTAAGAAGTAATCAGGTAGATGTGGGCTCAAACCCTAGCTCCATTGCTTAGTTAACCATAGGATCCACTTAACCTCTCTAATCTGAGTTTCCTCATCTGTAAAGTAACCATAACAATAGAACCTGTGTTGTGCTTGTTTTTAACAACTAAATTATTGTAACAGACACAGTTTAGTTTTATGTTGTTTAAAAAGGAGCCAACTTTTCTATATGCTGAAGCCAGATCAAACCCTAGTTTTCATCTAAAAAGAGGAGAAAATACCTTAACACTCCATCTGTCCTAGTCTATTCTTCATTACAATAACAAAATTCCTGAGGGAGTTACTTTATAAAGAAAAAGAAGCTTAGGTTCCAAGTTTTGGAGGTAGGAAAATTCAAAGGCATAATGCCAGCATCTGCCTAGCTTTTGGTGAGGGACTCCTGCTGCATTGTCGCATGATGGAAAAGTGGAAAAAAAAAGTAAGTGCATGGGCAAGAGCATGTGTGCCTGGGGTTGTAGCTCCAGTAGTAGACCACCTGCCTAATAGGCCTGAGGTGTTAAGTTCAAACCCCAATACCACCAAAAACAAGTTATACAAATGAAAGAACAGGGGCTGGGAAGGTGGCTCAGTGGTAGAGTGCTTGCCTTGCATGCATGAGGCCCTGGGTTAGATTCCTCAGCACCACATAAGCAGAAAAAAAAGCCAGAAGTGGCGCTGTGGCTCAAGTGGTAGAACACTAGCCTTGAGCTGAAGAGCTGAGGGACAGCGCCCAGGCCCAGAGTTCAGGCCCCACAACCGGACCCAAAAAAAACCAAAAAACAAATGAAAGAACATATGTATAAGAATAAGGCAGGAGAGGCTAACCGCATTATTAATAGCTCATTTTCAGAGTCAGTTATCTAATCCCAAAAGATGTAACTCATTCCTAAGAGACCTAATCCAATCTCAGAGAAGGAACTCATTTTCGCCAGGAAGACATCCTTAAGAGTAGTGTCCCTATGGCCCAGTCACCTCCAACTGGGCCTCACTTCTTTCTCAATACCATCCCTTCTCAATACCATTACATTACCATGGGGGACCAGTCTTCTACCACAAGAACCTTTGAGAGACAAACCATATCAAAATCTTTATGTTGTCAACAAATATAAGTGAGCTTAGGACATGATATCACCAGCTTGGTTTCTTTTTTTTTGGGGGGGGGGGTCCAGTCATGGGGCCTGAACTCTGGGCCTGGGCGCTGTCCCTCAGCTCTTCAGCACAAGGCTAGTGCTTTATCACTTGAGCCACAGCGCCACTTCCGGCTTTTTTCTTTTTGCTTATGTGGTGCTGAGGAATGGAACCCAGGGCCAGGGCCCTCAGGCATGCAAGGCAAGCGCTCTGCCACTGAGCCACCTTCCCAGCCCAACCAGCTTGGTTTCTTAGCATATTTCTCCTTCCACAAGGGCCGGCTAATAGATAACCAACCATATTTTCCTATTCAGGGGCAAATACCTTAGAGACTTCTGATTGTGTGTGCTAAGCCTTGCATTTGTTCCTTTGGAAGGGTGAAATTGGTCAACCTCCTGGAACCAGGTGTCTTAGAAAAACAGCTTTGTGGTCAAGCTTATGCCTTATTTTTTGGTTTTCCAGGACAACTTCAAAAGCATATCCGCAGTCTCCAAAGACAGTGAAACCACCGTATGCAGGGTCTCCTGTGAAATATCGCTACTCCCCTGTTCCTAGCCAAGAAACACTCAAGAAGAAAGCAGATAAAGAGAAGAGCAACAAGGAAAGGGAAGGTACCTCTATCCAGTTGGCCACTGGCATACACAGAGAGGAAACTCCAGAGAAGCATGTGGCCAACAAGGGTGCCACCAAGAAGCCCGTGGCTGACAAGGGTGCCACCAAGAAGCATGTGGCCAACAAGGGTGCCATTGAAAAACATGTTGCTGACAAGGGTGCCACTGAGAAGCCCCTGGATGACAAGCATGCCACTGAGAAACAAGTGGCCAACAAAGAGGCCACTGAGAAGCATGTGGCTGACAAGGAGGCCACTGAGAAGCCCAAGACTGACAAGGATGCCACTGAGAAGCATGCGCTTGACAGGGATGCCACTGAGAAGCATCTGGATGACAAGAATGCCACTGAGAAGCACATGGCTGACAAGAATGCCACTGAGAAGCATGTGGCTGACAAGAATGCCACTGAGAAACAAGTGGCCAACAAGGACGCCACTGAGAAACATGTGGCTGAAAGGGATGTCACTGAAAAGCACGTGGCTGACAAGGATGCCACTGAGAAACACTTGACCGACAGGGATGCCACTGAAAAGCATGTAGCTGACACAGATGTCACCAAGAAGCATGTGGCTGACAAACCTGCCATTGAAAAGCATGTGATGGATAAGAGTGCCACTGAGAAGCACATGGCAGACAAGCGTGCCACCGAGAAGCATGTGGCCGACAAGCGTGGCACGGAGAAGCATGCTACTGCAGGAGGGAAGGCTGAGAGCAGTGCAGGTACATCTTCTTTTGTCAATGCTGCCACTAAGCCCTGGCTTTGCTGAGATGATTCTCCCTCTGAGCTGATCAGTGTTCCCTTTGAGGAAGAGAAACAGGATTTCTCCTGGGACAGCTTCATCCCTTCTACTGCCTTCTCAGACTTAGTCATTGCCCCTTAATCCTTTCCTTCAGTCTCCCAGAAGACCCTAGGAGCTGACCCTGCTCACAGTTGTGGAAGCTCACCACAGTGCTGAGTAAGACTGGCTGTCAGTTACCATCAGCACTTCCCCCAGGAGAGGGTCTTCTTTTTTTTTTTTTTTTTTGGGTCCGGTCGTGGGGCCTGAACTCTGGGCCTGGGCGCTGTCCCTCAGCTCTTCAGCTCAAGGCTAGTGCTCTACCACTTGAGCCACAGTGCCACTTCTGGCTTTTTTCTTTTTTGCTTATGTGGTGCTGAGGAATGGAACCCAGGGCCTCTGGCATGCAAGGCAAGCGCTCTACCACTGAGCCACATTCCCAGCCCCGAGAGGGTCTTCTTTTAGTTCCTTGAAGTTCCCATGCTGCAGGGAGTTCCCCCAGATGGTGGACACAGTGGGACTTGCATGTGGCTCTGTAGGTCCTCAGCTGTTCACTATCTTCCACTGAGAAATGATGCCCCCCACGGTCCCAGGCAGTCCTTCCCAACTTCTGCTCAGTGGCTAGTTGTAATGCTACCCTAGCAATGTTTCCCATCACCACACTAGATTTTTTTTGAGGGGGGGTGGTAGTCATGGGGCCTGGGCACTGTCCTTCAGCTCAAGGGTAGTGCTCTACCACATAAGCCACAGCACCATTTCCAGTTTTCTGATGGTTAATTGGAGATAAGAGTCTCACAGACTTTCCTGCCCGGGCTGGCTTTGAACCATGATCCTCAGATCTCATCCTCCTGAGTAGCTAGGATTACAGATGTGAGCCACCAGCGCCCAGCTTAGACTAAATTTTTTTGCCAGTCCTGAGGCTTGAACTCAGGGCCTATGCACTGTCCTTGAGCTTCTTTTGCTCAAGGCTAGTACTCTACTACTTGAGCCACATAGCCACTTCTGGCTTTTTCTGTGTATGTGGTACTGAGGAATCCAACCCAGGGCTTCATGCATGCTAGGCAAGCACTCTACCACTAGGCCACCTTCCCAACCCCTAGACTAGATTTTTGTGTTGACATGGAAGCTGCCAAGTGAATAGAATCATTAATTTCCCTTGATCTTTCCTTTTACCATCTCTTGTGTAACGCAGTCTCAGGGAAGCCTACAGCAGGCACCACAGATGCGGGAGAGGCTGCAAAGATCCTGGCTGAAAAGAGACGTCAGGCTCGGCTGCAGAAGGAACAGGAGGAGCAAGAGCGATTGGAGAAGGAACAACAAGAGAGGTATGTGGCACCCATAGCTTTGGTGTGAGCTGTGTTATTAAAGGCTGTGTTGCAAAGACTTCTGGCCTGCCAAAACCTCACCAGAGGTATAGAAGCCTGGAGCCACATGGACTATGTCTTCTGTTTCTATTGGGGGTGACTAGCAATAGGACTTTGCTCTTTTTGGAGGACCTGGGAACTCATAGCTCCTGGATCGCAATGTAAGAGACAGCTCCCCTTTCTCCACTTGGCATTTCAGACCAGGCATGCCTAGAGAGCTGTCAGGAGAGCTTAAGCTTTGTTTCTAGAATGAGTCTCCAGGAGAAGCTAGAGGTCCGGATTATAGAGAGGTTGATTCTGCTTTCCAAACTTTTCCCACCAGAATTATCTTCATTCAAACATTAAAATAAAGGAGAAGAGTAGCATAGATTAAGACACTTCCCCATTCCCTCTGGTTCTTTGTCTGTGAGCATGTTTCCGTCCATTCTCTTATCTAAGTGAGATTAGGACTCGCCTTCACTAGCTTGGTTTCTTAAGATATTTCCCCTTCCACAAGCACCATCTAATAAATACCATATGTTCCTATTCAGGTGTGAATACCTTAGAGACTTCTAATTGTGCCATATTGGATAATCACCACTGTGGGGTGATAGTACCTGAGCACTTCATTACAGTACTGCCAGGAATGTTTTGTTGTTCTTATTTGTTTTTATGAGACAGGCTCTCAGGATGTAGCCCGAGCAGACCCAGGCTGGCTTCCACCTCCTAATCCTTCTGCCTGGGTCTCTCAAGCGCTAGGATGATAGCTATGCACCGCCATTCCAGGCCCTTTTCTAATTCCAAGAGGGACTGAAAGATAAAGAACCTAGCCTATTTTATCACAAAATTGATAAAAGTTGATTTAAATCACTAAATTGATCAAGAATGCTCTTAAGATAACCACAGAGTACAATCTGGTACCATTTAGACAATGAGCAGGACAGGAAATGAGCACTGCCGTAGCTCTCTGCGGCCAGTACTGAATTGAAAACAGTATTTTTTATCTTTAGTGACCTTGGCAAGTCTATGCCGTCTGTATACAGATTCACTGATCTACTTATTCCAAACAGGGAAGGCTTGGCTGATCCTTTTTTAAATTCTAAACTTCTTTGATTATTTTCTCAACTTTAGTCTTTTGGTCAGTATTGACAGGTTTTGTTGAATGTGTGTTCAAGCTGGTTTGGGTGGGCTGTCAGTTGTTTGAGGGGAAGGTTACACAGGAGATGCTGAATTACAGAACCTCAAAAGACCAGTCTTGGTAATTACAGGTCCTGGAAATATTTCACATGCTGGAAGCAGGTAAGTAATTGCTTTGTGCTTAGGAAAGGGAATTTTTTACCTTTTAGCTACCACCCTTTGTCGCATTCCCCGTATAGCCCAGGTCCTGAAATAACTGATTCTATTTATTTTTTCTATTTTATTTATTCTATTTATTCTTCAAACCTCACATCCACTGTTCTACCTGGTTGCTGGACTCCTAATTGAATGTTAGTTCACTTAACCATTCAAGTTTTTTTGTTTTTCTTTGTTAGTTGTGAGGCCTGAACTCTGGGCCTGGGCACTATCCCTCAGCTCTTCAGCTCAAGGCTAGTGCCCTACCACTTGAGCCACAGCACTACTTCTAGCTTTTTTTTGTTTATGTGGTGCTAAAGAATCGGACTCAGAGCCTCATGCATGCGAGGCAGGCACTCTACCACTGAGCCAACCTCCCAACCCTCTGGTTTCTTTCCCTAAATCATATTTGTCCAAACCTTTAAATATTGCCTGGACTCCTAGCTTTGACCAACTTCTCACCTGGCAAGCTGTTCCTGAACAGTGCTGCTCACTGGTCATTGCCATCGTCCTCACCACACTTCCACATTTCTCTGCCCTCTAAAGATTTAGGGCTAACATTTCTCTGTGTCTATCTCTGTCTCTCTTTCTCTCTCTTTTGGTAGACTGAGGGTTTAAAATCAAGGCCTTCTACTTGCTAGGTTGGCTCTGTACCACTTGAACTATATTTCTCTCTCTCTGTGTGTGTGTGTGTGTGTGTGTGTGTGTGTGTGTGTGTGTGTGTGTGTGTGTGTGTGTGTGTGCTGAGACTAACTCAGGGCCTTATTATGTTCTTTCCGAGGCTTTTTTTTTTTTTTTTTGCTCAAGGCTGGCAGTCTACCACTTGAGCTACACCTCCACTTACAACTTTTTTGCTGGTTAATTGGACATGAATTTGTCTTCCTAAGAGTCACGAATTTGTCGGCCTAAGCTGGCTTTATACAACATTTTCATTTTAAACCTTAAGTGTGTTAAACCAAACTGTGCTATCATCTCCCTTCCCACAAGTTCACAGCCACCTAGCTGTGAATTTTCTTAAAATAGTATGATTGTTCTGCTCTTATTCTTATTTCCCCTTTGATGCTAGTTGGGGCTTCAACTCAGTGCCTTGGTGCTGTCCCTTAGCTTTTTTGTTCAAAGCTGGTGCTCTACCACTCAAGCCATACCTCTACTTCTGGCCTTTTGCTGGTTAATGGGAGATAATTGTCTCTCAGATGTGTCCTCCTGGACTGCCTTCAAACTGTGATCCTCAGATCTCAGCATTCTGAGTAACTAGGTTTGCAGGCATGAACTACCAGTGCCTGGATGCCGCTCCTATTTTTTTTAACAAGTTAATGGCTCCCTTGCCCATAGAATCCACTCAGACATATCAGTGGGCCTTGAAGGCCTGCCAAGAACTGGCCTCTCCCTGCTTCTCTACCTTTTCTCCCTCTAGGCTCCAGTCAGCCTGACATTTCCAATATCATGTCACACTGCTAAAACTTTGCTTTTTCTGTGCCTCTACGTGGACTCATCCCATACTCCTTCTTTCCAGACATGTTATCCTTTATCAAGCTCTGAATTGCAGACAATACTCTGGACCTGTGCTGCTTTCAGCTGACTAACACAGACCCATTTGTCTACAGGAAGCTCTCCCCTAGTTAACACCTTAAAAGCCTGGGGTACACCCTTGGATGACGGGTGCCTCGTACTCAGTGAATGTACAAGAAAGGAAGAAAAAGAGGAGGAGGCTCACCTAACCAACGGTCACAGTAATAGGTTAAGTTGACACCAGGGCTAAAATTGTGTGATGAAGGCAAACAAGGCAAAGCGAGTATACAGACTAAAGTAACTAAAAAAAAAGTGAATGGTGAGGTTTGAAAGAGAATGGCATAACAGAATGGCATTAACAGATAATGGAAAGACAGGAATCAGGAATTCATTTTAAAGGATAAAAATTAGACATTTGACCTGAGATAAACAAAGGTGCCTACAGAATACATAGGTGACTGGAAATGGAATTGAAGCCTGAGACCTGGGTAACTCTTAAGACCAGTAACACACTTAACCCAAAATCAGTTTTCCTCTCTTTTGCCAGAATGTGACGCTTTGAGAAAGGAAAGTACCAGACAGCCTGGGGCTGGAAACAGCTGGACACCTCTTGGAATAAGATCATCCTCACATCCTTTTCCTTGTTTGTTGTTTGGCTTAGAGCTATTAGTTAAAACCACAGAAATGTCATTGCCAGTTGAGAGAATATAGAGAACAATAAAGATACTTGAGTTGAACTGTGGAGAGCCCAATTATTGTCACCAACCAGTGAAGGAAACACTGTCCAAATAAGAGGTGGGAAGACTTCCTCCATAGAACGGTTAACTAGGAGTCCAGATACCTGCACCCCATGAAGAACAAAAGCTGCTTTAGTCTCAACTAGCAGTAATACCAGAGTTCTCTCAGAGACACAAGGAACAGGCCCAGCCCCTAGGCTTGGGGAAGGCCCAAGATGTACAGTGGGATTGGTGCAAGTAACCTTAGACTCTAGCTCCGCTCTTAAGCGATCTTGCTGGGGTTCCAAAATGTATCACATAAAGTCCCATTAAGAAGCTGAAATCGCTGCTAGTGGCCCATGTCCAAGAATACTCAAGTAAGGCAGCTCCAGTAAGCAAGGCCCATAGCCAGGCTGAAACTCAAGTGTTCAAATGAGGATCCCAGGTCTGAAACTGCAGACAGAGGTCCCCAGGGCTGCTCAGACCTGAGCTCTCACTGGCTCAGCCTCTAGGGGGCAGGCAGGGACTCTTCTATGTGTAACAAACAGCAGAGCAGGGATGGCAGTGGAGGCGGCAAAGAATTGAAACGGCATAGTCTGGCATAGTCTCACATGGTCCACATTGTAGAGAAGGAGGGAGGTTCAATGTAGTTGGTATCTGTCAGACATATTGAGGGTGAGAAAAGACTACCAGTCTTGGAGTTTCAGAGACAGAAATGTTTTGGAGGGAAGTGACTGAGAAGAGGAATAGAGGTCTGAAGTAACCTGAAAAAAAGTTTGAGTGGTTGGAGGCCCTGAATGTAAGGGAGCATTCTGTGGTCACAGTGGAAGGCAAATAGGAGAGGACTAGGAAGAATGGTTTAGAATGACCAAGACCTTGGATGATTTTTGCAGTCCTTGGAAAGTTGCATGCAGAAGGGTCAAACTGGCACTGGAAGGAAAAGGGACTATCAAGAACATAAAGTTGTAGAATCCATAGCACAAATCATGCTATTTATAGTTCTTTTCCTCTTAGACAAAGGAAGAAGCAGGACAAATTTTCAGCAGTAGTGCCTTATATAAAGAAGCAAAATCTTAAGCCAGGTGCTGATGGCACATGCCTGTAATCCTAGCTGTTTAAAGGATCAATGTTCAAAGCCAGCCCTGGCAGGAAAGCCCAAGAGACTCATCTCCAATAAATTACTCAGAAAAAGCCGGGAGTGGTGTTGTGGCTCAAGTGGTAGAGCAATAGCCTTGGCACAAAAAGGCTCAGGGACAGAGCCCAGGCCCTAAGTTCAAGCTCCAGGACCAGCAAAACAAAAAACAAGAAGCAAAATCTCTCAGATCTTAGACCCAGTCTTCTCTGTAATGGATAATTTAAGTGCACAGGAATAGAAAACAGAGAAGCCGGCCTCCCCATCTACAAGATCAAACAATTCAAGGCTGAGCACGTGTCAGTGGTATGAGCAAGGTATGACTGGGTACAACAAATGGGGTTGGGGCATACTTAAGCGATTGAGAGATGGGGCCATTATATTAAGATTCTCACCAATGGCAGGGACAAATGATTCATCTGTTAAATGCTGAATGATGACAATGACACCTGGTTTTCTTGTTCTTTTAACTTGATTAGGGAAGGAGAGGTGGGTTTGGAGGAAATGGCTACAAGGATGTGAGGGAGACAGAACCTCCCAGTGGTTTGGTGAGCTCTGGAGGGAGTTCACAATGTCAGAGGTGATCGTCTGGTGGCAGCCTGTAAAAATGCTGTGTCTGGTTACTTAAGCAGGGAAAGAAAGAATGTTCATACTTGGAAAGGAAGCCATTTTCCTTTCAGTGCCACTCTACCTATTTGGGGGAAACAAAATAAGGTTATGAGGAAGGAATTTTGTTCATAAGATTTCCGTGGAGGCATCTGGAAACGACAAATGGGTGGATGGACCTATAAGGGAATATTTATGTTTTAGATGACAAAGGGATTAAAGATGAGAACCACAGTGATGTTAGATGGCTATATGTATAATGTGTGTGTTTTGTGTGTGTGTGTGTGTGTGTGTGTGTGTGTGTGTGTGTGTGTGTGTACCTGAACACCTTGTAATCCCAATGGTAAAAAGAGAATAGTAGATTTTCAGATCCTGAAGAGGAATAGAGATGAAGATAGCGGGTGTTTTGTGAAAGTACCTTGTACATGATTAACTCATATGCCTTTTCCTTTGTTTTAACTTTTCTAGGATGATCACATTGATTCTTTAAAAAGGGATTAAGAAAAGAAGCAGCATTCTGATTAACCGCTGGATAAATCTTAGCAATCCAGTTTTGAAAATTTGTGCTGAACATACTTAGAACAGAAGTGTCTTTCTGACTAAACCCCATAATGCTCTTCTCTTTATTTCAGTTGTTTATTCCAGTTGCTCTACCATGCTTTTAGGAAGTGCAGCCTCTGCTGGTAGAATATGGTATTTACTGGTATAGTCTTGGGCTAACCCCTTTAAGCATTTTTTTTCACCTTTTAAAATATTTCTGTGGTGAGACCTAGCCTGTCTGATCTGGGAAGGTGACTATTAGAATAGAAAGATGTTCTTTTTAAGTCTTTTTTTTTGTTCATGCCAGTCCTGGGGTTTGAACTCAGGGTCTGGGTGCTCATGTCCCTGTGCTTGCTTTGCTCAAAGACAGTGCTCTACCACTTTGAGCCATAGTGTCATTTCTGGCTTCTTGGGGTAGTTAATGGGAGATAAGAGTCTCATGGACTTTCCTGCCTGGGCTAACTTTGAACCATGATCCTCAAATCTCTTCCTCCTGAGTAGCTGGGATTGCAGCCATGAACCACCTATACCTGGCTTTATCTTTTTTTTTTTGCCAGTACTGGGACTTGAACTCAGTCTGGATACTGTCCCTAAACTTTTGCTCAAGGCTAGCACTCTACCCTCTGAGCCAGAGCACCACTTCTGGCTTTTTATGTTCATGTGGTACTGAGGACTAGAACCTAGGGCTTCATACATGCTAGGCAAACGTTCTACCACTAAGCCACATTCCCAGCCCTCTTTTTTTTGGGGGGGTCCGGTCGTGGGGCCTGAACTCTGGGCCTGGGCGCTGTCCCTCAGATCTTCATCTTCAGCGCTCTACCACTGAGCCACCTTCCCAGCCCCCCCTCTTTTTTTTAAATGCCAGTGCTTGGGCTTGAGCACAGGGCTTGCGGACTGTCCCTGAGCTTTTGTACTTAAGGCTAGTGCTTTACCACTTGAGCCACAGATCCACTTCTGGTTTAAAAAAAATGTTACTTTTATTTTTACATGTTATACAAAGGGATTACCATTTCCTAAGTCAGATAATGAGCACATTCCTTTTTTTCTTGGACAATGTCCCTCCTTACCCCGTCTGGCTTTTTGATGGTTAATTGGAGATCAGAGTCTCAGGAACTTTCCTGCCCAGGCTGGTTTTGAACTGCAATCCTCAGATCTCAGCTTCCTGAGTAGCTAGGGATTATAGGCGTAAACCACCGGCGGACTAAGTCTTATCTTTTAAATGAAGGTAATTACTTTTTTAAAAAATACTGATTTATAGATGTACTCCAAAGGTCATTGGGCTTGGAGGGAGGATTCATTTTAAATTGTAAAATTGATATTTGAGTGTTCCAGGGCCAAACATTGCCATTCAGTATTTCATTTATGTCTCAGAAGAATGCCATGAGGCATAGTAGGGCCATTCCTATGAGCATAATAAATGTCAAACGAATTTCCAGGTGCACACAGTGAGTAGCACAAGTTAAAATGTGATTTGGGTCTTACGTTGCCAATGACTAGCTGAAGAAATGGATGACTTGTCAGAAGCAAGAATATTAGAAATGTAATAGGAATTTACTGAGGAGGCTGAGATTTGAGCCAACCTGGGCAGAAAAGTCTGAGACTTCATCTCCAATTAACCAGCAAAAATCTGAGCTGGAGGTATGATTCAGGTGGTAGAGTGACAGTTGTTAGGAAGAAAGCTGAGTGAGATCATGACCCTAAGTCTGAGCTCCAGTACCAGCACAAAAAAATGCAAAAGCAAGCTTTAGACTTTACCTTTAGCAGTTCTCCCTTGCTGCTTAGAGCTCTTTAGCATTATGTCAGGAACCGGTCATCTGTGGATGAAAATACCAAAATACTACTTCGTTTTCATATAATAAAGGCTAAATACAAAAATAGATTTTTTAAAGAATGCCAAAATCAGTGGAAAATAGATGCTTTAACTTCTGTATCAGATACTGAATTTTGGTTGAATGTTTTCTTCAGTCAGCTGCTTCCAAAGTCATACATACCTCAATTAGAAGCCAAAGTAAACTGTTTGAGCTTATGGTCATTGCTCTTCAGTTGCTGACTGACACATTTGTGACCATTACAACAATCCCCACCTCACTATTTTTTTTTTAGCTTTAGTTGGTTTTGAATATTTCTTAGGAATTGCCATAAAATACAAATGTTAGGGTTTGGCCTCCTGTAAATCATGGTGATTTACAGAGTGACAAGGGAGTATCTGTGTCTTCCCAGTAGTAGGCTTACAATTCAATGAATTGTTGTTCTTGTCTAGTACAGAGTTTAAAGTCAAGCCTGGTTAATATCTTTGTAGGCATATGGACGAAGTCTGATTCACGTTATTTGTTAGCATTATCCACCACTATCTGCACAAGATTCTTAGGTGATTTGCCTTTGTCTTCTAACAACGCTTATGTTCTCAAAAGGCTGGAGAGAGAGGAGTTGAAAAGAAAGGCAGAGGAGGAGAGACTGCGCCAAGAAGCAGCAGCTCGTAAGCAAGAAGAGGCAAAGAAGCAGCAGGAAGAGGAAGAGAAAAGAAAGGCCGAGACAGAGGCCAAACAGAAGGCTAAGGAGGAGCTGTTGTTGAAAGAGAAGCAAGAAAAAGAAGAGCAAGAGAAAGCCTTGATTGTAAAGCAGGTAAAGTCCAGGTTCTCAGGTTTCCTGGGTTTGCAAGGGCTTTTGTTAACAAACATTAAGTTTGAATGACATAATAGTTACTTCCTTTTTTTTTCTTACGCTGACTATGCTAGTTATTAAATATAAATTTCTTGGAACAATCAAAATTAGTAATGTTTACTGTCTTTGAGTTTGAGTTCTTCCCAAAGACAGACCCTGGAGTAAGAATTTGTGTGCCAGTAGTTTATTTAAGAGTAGAGCTCGCTAGGCGCCAGTGGCTCATGCCTGTAATCCTAAAACTACTTAGGAGGCTGAGATCTGAGGATCAAGATTCAAAGCCAACCCAGTCAGGAAAGTCTGTGAGACTCTTTTCTCCAATAAACCACCAAAAAACCGGAAGTGGCGCTGTGGCTCAAGTGGTAGAGGGCTTGCCTTGAGCTGAAGTGCTGAGGGACAGCATCCAGGCTCAGAGTTCAAGCCCCATGACACCCCCCACCCCCGCAAAGAAGAGTAAAGCTCATGAAACTAGTAGGAGTTTGAGAGAATAGTAAGTACACTGATGAATGGGTTACTATGAGCAACTGGAACTCATTGCCATTGGGACTTGAGAGAGTGAGGAACATGCTTAGAATTGTCCTTCAAGGGATGTGGAAAAATGGACAGTTTACCTACCAGCACTGCCCCTTATTGTGGAAGATTGCTCCTTGGAGAAGTATATGTGGACTTTCTGGCCAAACTCTGCTACTAACACAGGGAGACCTTTGTCTCTCTACAGAGAAACCGTGACCATGTGTAGAAGAACTGTCTGCAGGTGATTTGCATAGTAGACTGAGTGTGAGTGTATGTGAATGAAGCCTGACCTGTCTTTAGGTCATAAAGCAGCTTGTGTAAATCCACATTGAAGATTGAACATTAACTAGCCACTTTGGGGCACACAATGAGGGGAAAGAAACTTGTGCAAACCCTAGGGAATTACTACCATGTTTTCTTAGCTTAATAACTCCTGTGCCTTGGTTTCTCTCTCACTTTCAGAAAGAAGCAGCAGAAGCAAAGGCCCAGGAGGCAGTTAAACAGATGCGTCTAGAAAGAGAACAGATCATGCTGCAGATCGAGCAGGAACGGCTAGAAAGGAAGAAGGTAAAGGCCGAGGGTGAGGCAGGAACAGAAGTGAGTCCAGTTTTGTTTTGCAGTACTTGGGTAGAATATTAAATATGTCAATTAAGTCAAGTGCAGGTGTGTGTGTCTGTGTCTGTGTCTATGTCTGTGTCTGTGTCTGTGTCTGTGTGTACCCTGGGGCTTGAACTCAGGTCTTGGGCGCTCTTCCTCAGCTTGTTTTTTTTGTTGTTGTTGTTGGTCATGGGGCCTGAACTCTGGGTCTGGGAACTGTCCCTCAGCTCTTCAGCTCAAGGCTAGTGCTCTACCACTTGAGCCACAGTGCCACTTCTGGCTTTTTTCTGCTTATGTGGTGCTGAGGAATCAAACCCAGGGCCTCATGCATGCAAGGCAAGCACGCTACCACTGAGCCACCTTCCCAGCCCCCAGCTTGTTCGTTTGTTTGGTTGTTTTTGCTCAAGACTAGCACTCTACCACTTGGAGGCATAGTGCCACTTTTGGTTTTCTGGTAGTTAATTGGAGATCAAATCTCACAGACTTTACTGCCTGGGCTGGCTTTGAACCACAATCCTCAGATCTCGGCCTCCTGAGTAGTAGGATTATAGGCATGAGCCACTAACACTCAGCAAGTTGGGGTTTTTTTTGTCATCTTGACTCATCAATTGCTGACTGAGAGTGCTCTTCCTCCTCCCCCCCTCCAATTCCACCTTCTGTGTAGCTAAGATTACAGGCATGAGCCACTACTCCTGGATCAATTTCATGTTCTGTAGAGTAGTCCTTTCAATGGCAGCTGGTGAGTTGTTGATTTATAGAGAACTTATGGAGAAAGATGAGCTTTAAATTGAATATAAATTGTAGGTATGGACTAGTATACTTCACTTGACTGTGTTCATAGGTTCAGAGGTGTCCATCTTTAAAACCAATGGAAAACTGTCCTGTAGTTGTTATCCTTTGCTGACATTGATCATTTAGAAGTTTTCTTATAAGTATGAAATTACATAGAGACTCAATTGCTTTATGTTTTTGGTCTTCTTTTTCTTCACGGCTGCCAGAGAATAGATGAAATCATGAAGAGAACAAGGAAGAGTGATGTGCCTCCAGAAGTAAAGGTGGGGATTTTTCTGAAAATTCCATGCTGAGTGGGAAAGAACAAAAGAATGCATTCAGTGAAGTTGGAGGAGAACTAGCCAGAAAAAAAAATGGACTCTTTCTGGCCTGTTTCTGACCAGCTCATAAAGAAAAGAGAAGTGTAAGAGATTGAACAAATGAAAGATTTCCTCAGAGAACTGGAATGGGTATGCAGAGGAAGTAATGATGAGCCCATGAATGCAAGAGAATAAGGGAAACACAGCTAAAGAGGCTTAAGAATTATCTGTAACAGGCAGATGACCACTCAGAATTATGAACATTCCCTGGTGCTTTTTTCTTTGTCTGTTTGTGTGTGCCAGTTCTGGGGCTTGAACTCAGGGTCTGGTCACTGTCCCTGAGTGTGTGTGTGTGTGTGTGTGTGTGTGTGTGTGTGTGTGTGTGTGTGTGTGTGTGTGTGTGTGTGTGTGTGTGTGTGTGTGTGTGTGTGTGTGTGTGTGTGTGTGTGCGCGCGCGCGCGCTTGTCCTGGGGCTTGGATTCAGGCACTGGATGTTGTTCCTGAGCTTTTATGCTACAAGGTTAGCACTCTACCACTTGAGCCAGAGCTCCACTTCCAGCTTTTTGGTGGTTAGAGAAAAGAGTTACATGGACTGTTCTGCCCAGGATGACTTTGAACTGTGATCCTCAGATCTCAGCCTCCTGGAGCAGCTAGGATTATGTGAGCTAGGCATGAGTCACTGGTACCTGGTGGCTGGTGCTTTTCAAAAGCATTTGTCATGACAACCTTCCCTATTTTCACTCAGCTTCTGTTTGATTTCAGAAAGAGGAATCTCCCAAAGTAGAGATTCAGCCTGGTACGTGTGTGGAAAATAAGACAAAATCAGTTGTGCCCAATAAAATAGGTAAGTATGAGGTCTGGTTTGGTTCTTCCTTTCAACAACGAGGACTAGTAAAAGCTGCTGTGGGGCAAAGTTATCTCTAGGTCCCCAGAGTGTGGTTGCCAGCAGATTTGTTTCCTGGGCATCCTTCCAGTGCTGGGGCTATGGCTCCATTTGGAACACTCTGGCTTCCTTGCTTACTCTAATAATCCATGCCATACATCAGCCAGCCCAGGATGCTTTAGATCAGATGCTGTTCAGATCTGATTCTGTCCTCCAGAGGCCCTACAAACTGATAATGTGATCTGTCTCTGCTTCCCCTGTGGGAAGTTAATGACATGGGTTAATATTGGTTCTTTCCATAAAACATATTGGTGAAAAAAGAGAATTAAGTTAATGACCTTGTTATATATTTGCCATTGTTTCGGTTGGGGATATTTGATTATTTACACAGGGACTTTGCTTTTTTTGTTTTGTTTTTGTGTGTGTGTTTTTTTTATCAGAAATCAATGGGTTAAACACCTGCCAGGAAGTTAATGGTGTGGGACCCACTGGCCCAGAAGCTTTTCCTCGAGACATTTTCTCTAATGGGTTTAAACCAGTCAGGGGGCTTGTTCATTTGGATGCCCTTGATGGGAAATCAAACAGTTTGGATGACTCCACTGAAGAAGTTCAGTCTATGGATGTAAGGTATGTTAATATTTTACATTTCATCACTTCTCTAAATATTATCTTTTATTTTTTTGTTGGTCATGGGCCTGAACTCTGGGCCTGGGCACTGTCCCTCAGCTCTTAAGCTCAAGGCTAGCTCTCTACCACTTGAACCACAATACCACTTCTGGCTTTTTCTGCATATGTGGTGCTGAGGAATTGAACCCAGGGCCTCATTCATGCAAGGCAAGCACTCTACCCCTGAGCTACCTTCCCAACCCCTAAATATGGTTTCTTAATCAGTCATCTACAAAGCAGGTTTGGTTGATATGAGAAGCTGACAGTGATGTAATACTAGAGTCTTGGGTTGGGTGCCCTGGAAATAGGGCCAGGGCCCAAGTTTCTTATCATAGCATTTATTGGGGGAGGATGTTCAGTGTTTCTCAGGAAGAAGGGAAAAGAGGGAAACACTGAATAAGGATATATTCTCAGATAATCCCCCAGGACCCCTAGAGGATGAATTTCCACCAAAGTTGCCTTATTGAGTTAATGACAGGTAGCTCTACAGTTTAAGGTGAGTACTCAACTACTTGAGCCACAGTGCCATTCCAGTTTCCTGGTGGTTAATTGGAGATAAGAGTCTCACGGACATTCCTGCCTGGGCTGGCTTTGAGCAGTGATCCTCAGATCTCAGCCTCCTGAGTAGCTAGGATTACAGATGTGAGCTACCAGTGCCCAGCTGGCAGATAGCTTTTGTACCACTATGTTCATCAGTCTTCTCTATGGGACCCCTGCCTGGGTAAGTGATATAGGACTAAGTGGACACTAAAGGACTGTGTCAATGAAAGGAAGTTGTTGTCTAGAGAAATGGTGGCAACTGTGACTCTTTACTTGCAGGTATAGGGGTTCTGGCTGGGCATCAACAGGGTCTCCTGTGTCCAGAGTCTCATATTTCAGAAAGCTTGTCAGTAGAGATTTGAGAAAAGAACTAATATACTTTCAGATACTAAAAGCCTAAAGAATTCTTAAGCTGGTATGCCTGGGAAATGAATTCCAGCCAAAAGAAGAGCCAATTAGTGTGGGATTGAAGCAGAGGCATTATAAAGCACACACGTCACCTTGGGCAGGGCAGTTGGAGTAGGGGGTGGCTCTGTTAGTCAAGACAGTATGACAGTATTGTATAAAAGCTCTACCAGAGAGAGGATGAGGGTGGAAGCATGGGGTTCCTATGACACACTGGTTGTAAATAGCCCACACATCCGCACCGAGCTTGAACCAGATATATGAAAAGCCAGCATCCGGCAGTCCCATCTACAGGAGAGATCCTTTGTGGACTGACAACAGGGTCCTTCAGCCCTTGCCTGGAGTTCTCCTGGCCCTAGCACCACTATGATGGCCACCATCTCCTGATGGGTGCCACTCTGCCCACAGCAGAAAACGCTGGGCAGTTTTAAGGGTTAATACAACATAACCCCACCCCCACATAGAACCAGCTGTACTTAGTCTTTCATTCTTTTTGGGGGGGGCCGGGGAGCCAGTCCTGGGGCTTGAACTCAGGGCCAGGGCACTGTCCCTAAGCTTCTTTTACATAAGGCTAGCACTCTTGTCACAGCACCACTTCTGGTTTTTCTGTTTATGAGATACTGAGGAATTGAACCCAGGGTTTCATGCATGGTAGGCAAGCACTCTTCCACTAAGCCACATTCCCAGCCCTGTACTTATTCTTTTATGTCTCCAGTGGGGGCAGGAAGGGGACAACACGTGGCACTATTGGCACAGTTGAGAAAGTGAAAGGGTTTTGTATGCTTAAAGATATGTGAGTCCTGATGCTGCACCAAAGCCTGTGACAGAACCTGGGGCAGACTGTTTCTGCTGAATGAGGCAGTTCGCCTATGCTTGCTTCATACACCAGAGGAGATACCAGGTCAGTGGCTGCCCCTTCACTGGGCGCACATGTGAAGAAGGTGGAGCTTCTGTGGGTGCTTCTGCAGTTCAACTGGTTTTTCTAGATTCTTCTCTCAGATTTCATCAAAGAAGAAGAGAAGAACCTGGTAGCAGCCTTACTCTAGTCATTGAGACTCCTGGGGATGGTCCCTGAATTCCTAGCCTTCCACTCTTCTGGGCTCAGATTTGCTGCTTATTAGGCCTACAGCAGACAATAGTGAAATGCCTTTCACTTCTAGGGAGAAGAGAGACAGAGAAAGAGAGAGAGAGAAACATAAGGCTTCTTCCTGGATAAGTCATGGTGAATTGGAAATGGTTTTAGATAGGAGACAGTGGGTGAAATAGGCCTTTTTTTTTGAATGTTGGGGGCTTGAACTCTGGGCCTGGGTGCTGTCCCTGCGCTCTTCAGCTCAAGGCTAGCACTCTACCACTTGAGCTACAGCGCCACTTCCAGTTTCCTGGTGGTTTATTGGAGATAAGGGTCTCAAGGACTTTCCTGCCTAGGCTAGCTTTGAACTGTGATCGATCCTCAGATCTCAGCCTCTTGAGTAGTTAAGCTTACAGGCATGAGCTACCAGCACCCAGCCAGATAAGGTTTTTTAAAGGACCTTAGATTGACAGTAGGGTCCAAGTTAATGATTCCCTCATCCCATAGCCTTAACTGAGCATGCACTCAGTGTGGCTCCAAAATGAACTTTTCTCAGCACTGTCACATCCATACTTATAGCAGCCCAGGGAAGGAGAAATGACTGTTCTTCCCATTTTATAAGGGAGGGGTCTGAGGCCAGGAGGCTGAGGGGGCAGTACTGCTAGAAAGGCTCTGAGAGGGCCATGCTTCTGTGTGGTGAAGTGCTGGTACCTGCAGGCCCCTATATGAGCTCAGCCTAACATCCCTCATCCAGTCTCCTAACCCAGCCCCTTGTTCTCAACCACTGTGTCCACTAGTAGAGTGTCCAATAGCTTAAACTCATGCATATTTTTGATAATGTGTTACACACAAATTTTATTTTATTTATTTATTTGTTTGTTTGCTTGTTTGTTTTTGGTCTGTCATGGGGCTTGAACTCTGGGCTTGGGCACTGTCCCTCAGCTCTTCAGCTCAAGGCGAGCACTCTGCCACTTGAGCTACAGCACCACTTCCAGTTTTCTGGTGGTTTAGTGGAGATAAGAGTTTCATGGACTTTTCCTGCCCGGGCTGGCTTTGAACCGTGATCCTCAGATCTCAGCCTCCTGAGTAGCTAGGATTACAGGTGTGAGCCACCAGCGCTGGCTATACGCACAACTTTTATAGAAGAATAGAACAAAATACTACAAACAGAATGAAGTACATAAACACATTATGCTTAGTTCTTATTTTGTTTTATCTTTTGTATCAGTCCTGGAGCTTGAACTCAGGGCCTGGATGCTGTCCCTGAGTCTTTTTGTGCTCAAGGCTAGCACTCTACCGCTTGAACCATAGCACCACTTCTGGCTTTTTTTCTGATTAGTTTATTGGAGATCAGACTCTCACAGACTTTCCTGCCCAGGGCTCGTTTCAAACCATGTTCCTCAGATCTCAGCCTCCTGAGTAGCTAGCCTAGGTGTCACCAGTGCCTGGTTCTCCCTTGACTTTTTTGCTCAAGACTAGTGCTCTATCACTTGAGTTACAGCTCTAGCTCCAGCTCCAGCTTTTGGCTGGTTGATTTGGAGATGAGTGTCAAAGATTTCTTTTTTCTTTTTGGGTCCGGTCGTGGGGCCTGAACTCTGGGCCTGGGCGCTGTCCCTCAGCTCTTCAGCTCAAGGCTAGCATTCTACCACTTGAGCCACAGTGCCACTTCCAGCTTTTTTTTTTTGCTTATGTGGTGCTGAGGAATCGAACCCAGGGCCTCAGGCATGCAAGGCAAGCGCTCTACCACTGAGCCACCTTCCCA